GCCCTTTCCACTCAGAGCTCAACACCGCCCTCTCGTGGTGGATTTTCTGTAGCAAAGTGCACATCTAGGCCGCTGAGGCCCAAATCCTAGACAATTAAATGCATCCTTTACTTAAAGCAGTGGGCAGACGTACATGAACTTCTACTCATCTCTGGACCAAAAAGAAAAAAAAAGAGAGAAAAATAAGGAAAAAAGAATAAAACATTTGGATGTATCTAGCTTTGGTAATTCAAATTAAATCAGAATTATTCGTCATCTACCCATTTACTACTTAATTCCTTAGTTCCTTTTTCTCTGCTTTCTTTCTTTCTTTTTTTTATTTCTTTCTCTTTCTTTTGTTTCTTTCTTTTCTTTAAGAAATAAACACAAAATAGCTCATTAAAATAGCAATGACTAAGTGGTTGGGAAGAAGGAGCCCAAGTTTGATGTTGCTTTGTTTTTAACAGAATAAAAAAAAAACCTAAACCCAAACCCTATAATTCAACCCAACTTGTCACTACCCTCTGATTAAAGCATTTTTTAAAATAGCAGATAGGAAGCTGAGATCTGCATTGAGATAAAGACGGTTAGCATAGATCAAAAGGAATTGTACATCTGTCAGCTAGATTAAGCGGCAGGATGTGGGGAAGGGGTGGGTCCCATATCCAGTTACTTGATGCACAAGCCCATTTGCTGAGCACTCTAAAGGGCTAGCCGCACATGGACGGAAACCAGGGAAATTAATGGAAGGCAACCCATAATGGTTAGAGTGTTGGTGCTGATATGGATCCAAGACCACATTTCTCCTAATTAGTAATATTACTGTAATTTTTATAACTATCTTGCCCTGCCCAGGATAGTAAATTATCTTTCAAACTTTCATCTAGCATTTCTGAGGGGTCAGCATTATGTTGTAAGTACTCTATATCCCACATACATAAACCTAGTAATTAGATATAGACAGACTATTTTCCAAAGCCTATTAGAAGGAAATATATTTAAAATCCTCCTCCTCCCAAAAAAAATTTCATCTAAGGCATTTTGGGGGACAAAAGGGGCAAGTAATGTAGAATAATGTCAATATCAATGGAGCCCAGTAAAGAATATTAAGTTGGTTTTGAGGTGAAGTGGGATTGGGAAAGGAGAGGATGAGAAGGAAGAATAGTTGACTTGCTAAGAGAAATGGAAAAGGCATACAATGGTACAATGGTTATTTTTCTGGAAGGGTATGTTGCAGCAGAAGAGTGTTGCTAAAGACCACAGTGGATGCCATATTTCTTGGGGACGCCGTTCATACATTACCGTTCACAGTGAAGATGATCTTGGCTAACTGAGGCCAGGCTATAAATCAGAGACATTTAAAATCTGCGTTAGGGAAATGCTATGCAGCTTAACATGGGGGCTGCTTCCTTACTTCACATAGTCACTGGAATCTGAAAACTCAAGAGCTGGAAAAGACCTTCGCATTTACTTTCCCCAGGCTTAACTAACCTCGGTTTAGTGATAATCAAATCAAGTCACCTTTTAGCTGAAACAATTCCATTCTCTTGATAATCCAACAGGCCACCAGGATGAGGGGATGGAGGCACCGGCTTCAGCACAAAATTTAAGGGAGCAGGAAGTGCCCCAAACCTCAGTAATGAAGATAATATTTTAACTTCCTCTACCCAAATCCCATCTCTACTGAATTCTCTCTTAATTTAAAATTTTGATATATTGTTCCTCACGGATTTTTTGCGTTGATTTGGATTTTTTTTAAATATTATTTATCTTGATTGCTGAGGCTTTGTTTAAATTTTGCACTATGAGGCAAGTGCTTCATTCACTCAGGTAGTCTTGGACCAGTAAACCCATTCCAATCTTTACATAACTTCAGATTCAGAAACGTCTTCGGTACATCTAACCCAGGGTTTGTCAAGCGTGGCACTATTGGACGTTTTGCGGCCAGGTAATTCTTGGTTGTGGGGCTGTCCCACACACTGTCGGGTGTTTAGCAGCATCCCTGGCCTCTACCCACTAGATGCCAGGAGCGCCCTCCCTCCCCCTTCCAACAAAAATGTCTGCAGACGTTACCAAATCACCCCTCAGTTAAGGGCCACTGACCTAACCAAAGTCCCTCATGCTGCAAACCACCCCATTTCTTCCCGTTGTATCCTCAGAAGAAATAGAAAGCAGCTTTTCATCAACCTCTAAATAACAAGCCCACGAGATTCCTTGCTTTGTAGAGTGTGTGTTTACTTTACAATCTGATTAGAGTGATGACAATCACGTTAGCATGTCTAGACTTACCAAGGTCAGACCCCTGGCCTCTGTAAGGCTTATTCCTGTCCAATATCTGACATCTCAGCAGACCACGTGGCCATCTGAAGCAGTAGCTTCTTCCAGAAGTTCAAAGATGCCTTGTAATTATAACCCCTTTGTCAAACTGCAACTCCACTCCCTCGTCGCATCAGGCCGGAGAGATTAGCTCCCCCACCTACCACATCGCACTCTCTTCAAAGTGAATTTCATCTTGGCATTTATCAATAACCTTTATGTGAGCTATCATGTCTTCCTCCGTCTCACAGCTAAGGCTCTAAGAAGTCAGATTGTGTTAAATAATTCAGCAATTCAAGTTCCTCTGTGATCTTAGTTTTGTAAGTACTACAACTTTGGGAAGCCATTTTTCCTATAATGAGCAGGAAATATACTTAGTATTTTTCTTTCTTATTATTCAAAGGCCAAATTTATTGCAAAATTTTTGAAGCCCTGAGTTAGACTTGGAAATAACATTACACTTGCAAGGTAAAAATCCATTTCTGGATGGTCGTTTTGTAAAAACATACTGAAAAGTCTCATAATCATCCATGCAAACTGCAATATGAACCATAAATAGGTAATCAGATAGATGAGCTGGAAGTTGTTCCCAATGATACACAATCTGCCACCTTCGCCCTCCACTCTGTTGAAATTTCATAAAATTCTGGGTACACATGTATTTTTCCTTCCAGAGAGGTATGATGTATGTGGAAATCAACCTATGTTCAAAATAATGGGTCTGGAATATTATGCCTATTAGGGTCGTTGGCTGTAAGCAACAGAAAGTAACTCTGGCTGATTAAGCAGAAAAAAACCACTTGTTGCTTAGTTGTTAAATAGTTCAAGAAGCTTCCAACATGATGGGAACCAGGCTGGAAAAGGAGACTAGACGAGGGAAGCTGAGCAGCAGGTGGACCCCACACCACCTAACCCATCAAATGAGGAAACCACCACCACTGCCCACACCACTGAACAGTAGATGCTGCAGGCTGCCCGGAAGCCACAGACACTGGCCTTTGCATAGAGCTGCTCCTGCTACCACCACTTCAGTGCCTCTGGAGTCTCCACTGTCTCTGCCTCATTCTGTCAACAGCTCCCAGTTCAAAGTCACTAGCAGGTGCATCTGTTTAGTCAAGCCTGGGTCACGTGCCTGCATCCTAGCTGCAAGGGTGGCCGGGACGGTATCTGGACTTTTCAGCTGCTAAAGTGGGAGGCAGGCAGCCAATAAAATGACAGCTGTCCATTACAGGTGTGAGAAAGGGAGGTAATTCATAACAAGAGATGAAGTCTTGGGCTCCGGAGCCAGACTATCTGAATTTGAATCTCTGCTTTATTATGTGACCTTGGGCAAATTACTTAATTCCTTCATTGTTTCTATTTCCTCATCTCCAAAACAGGCCCTTGTAAGGATTAAATAAAAACACCCATGTAAAACTGCCTAGCACTGAATATGGTACATAGTAAGGACTTCCATATATCTATATACGAGTGTGTATCTATACACATATGTAGAAATGAGTACATATGTATGCCAGCATGCGACGCTGATAGTGGAGATAGAGCTTCTCTACCCTAATTCTCTTTCCCCTTTTGTAAACATCTACCAAATACAAGACAGCACTTGCGTATCTCAGACTTTTCATTTAGTTTAATGCAGGACAGGGCAACTCAGTTTAACTTTGGTCTCCCCCGTTAAAGCATACGTAATCTCATTGAGCGACAACAATGAAGAAATAATTAAATTCAACATATGCTATAGTAGCATAAAAAGGGAAATTCAGAGAGGGGCAGGATTAATTTTGTCTGGGGAGCTACAAAAATCATTATAGAAGGAACTTCACAGGGAACATGAAGAGCTGATAGTAAGATTTTTCCAGAGAGGAGAGAGAGGGAATTCTCCCGGGCAGTGAGCAGACTGTCAGCCCAGCTGGGTAAGGGCAAGTGTGTCTTGGTGTGGGGAAGAGTTCCAAAGGACAAGAGCAAGGGACTGGTGGGAAGGTGGAAACAGATGAAGTGGGAACGTTAGACTGCGGCCAGATTGTCAAAACCCTCAGGGGTCGCACCAGAGTGGGGTTTTGTCCTCCGCTAACACACACGCCAGTAAGACTGCTGAGATCTGACCAATGGCCCTAGTAATGTCACATCGTTGGAATCAATCTTAGGTCATTATTTATTCCTGGTAAGATTTCTAATTCATTCTTAGGAAGTTCAACGCCAGGGATCAAGGTTAGTTTAAGCAAAACAGTAGAACAGGCAGAGCCGTCCCAGTCCTTCCTTCTGTTGTCTCCCTTTCCCTCTTACCCTCTATCCCAGGTCCCAGGGCCTGCACGTCAACCCAGGGCAATGCTGCCAGAGGCTTCCCGCCCTCCCCCGTGCTCCCAGCTCCACACCTGCTATTCGTCTTCCTCCCCCACTCCTCAGAACCCCGATTTCTGCTTAACTGACAAGACTGAGAATGGGCTACACAGAGAAACCAGTCTCAGCGGCGGGCCTAGTCTGCGGCCCTTCTGAGTGACACATCACCCTAATAGCTCTAGAGGACTCCCCAGAAACAACATGAACAGTGCTGCAGCCTCAAGTGCTGTTAGCTCCTAGAACTACATTCCCCCACCCCTGCACCCCCCACCCCTACACCCCCCACCCCTACACCCCTCACCCCTGCACCCCCCACCCCTACACCCCCCACTCCTACACCCCCCACCCCTACACCCCTCACCCGTGACACAGCTAGAACATGTGCTCTAATAAGGACAGAAGAACTTTTACAGACCACAAAATCAGCATGTTCAAAACAGGATTACTCCAGAAAGTCTGAGGTGAGAGGTTGCTTCCTCGCCGCATCTCGGGAAACAGAAGCGGCTTTGGGCTGCGGACCGAATCTGCTGTTCCCTTCTGGACCTGGAGTTTGGTCTCAACTTCTCCAGGACCACTGACCCAGGGGTCTGAGCCCAGTGGCTCCAGCATCCACATGATGGGAAATGGAGGGTCCGGCTGCTCGCTGAGGACAGATGTTAGCACACTGATAGCAGAGCTAAGTGGATTTCTTTGTTTTGTTTCAGCTGCCAAGAGCCTAGGGCCTCAACCCTTGTGAGAAGCTCAAGGGGTGTCAGGGAATCGAGAAGAGACCCCAGGCGTTGGTGTCGGCCGAGCTGCTGCTGGTGTGCCTGGGATGGAGGGCGAGGAGGCCTGGAGACCCGCCCATCCCAAGGGCTGTGGCTGAGGGGGCTTCGTGCTGCAGGGCCAGCCTCTTTAGCAATCTACTCTGGTGAGACACAAGGGATGGACGAAAAGGAGCAATTACACTTGAGACAGATCCATTCCTTCAGTGGCAACATATTTTCCTCACATGCTTTTCTCTTCACAGCAAGCAAACGCATGTGGAGTCAGGGACTATGAAGTCGGTCATATTGAATTTACTCAGTTTTTCTCAAGTCTTCAAGCATGAAGCGTTGCAAACTTTCATATGTACACTGGGGAAAGAAAGGAAGAAAAAAAAGAACTCCACCATAAGGCCTAAGGAAAAGGCTGCGAAAAGAAAACGGCAAGATAAAGCAACACAATTTCAAATCTTAATCTCCTGAAGTGGTGCCTTGAAAGCCACACTTTCCACATTTCTGAGTGGGGGCCTTCAAAACTCCGTGTCAAATCATGTTATAACCTTGCTTCTTATCTGTTTGCGAGGGCTTTCAAGGGCCAGTAATTCCCCCATAGGTGGCAGAAAAGTTCATAGCAGGGATTTGCGCACTTGACTAAGCCCCCTGTGCTGCTGTCTGGGCAGCGCTAGGAAGGAGGCGGATTTGTTCTCCTTTTCAGAACTAAATCAGGCACCTGCCAAGAACACAGTCTAGCAGCAAACCAGGATCACTCCCTTGGTCAGATAATCTGCAGAACGATGACTTAATATTATACTCTCTGCTTTTGTCCGGTAAATCACACAGCCAGGCAGAACATCCCCGGATTTTTTTCAAATAAAAACTAACGGACAAGACCCCTTCTATGAGGGAGGGCTTTTTGGCGCCCTCTCCCCTGACATTCTCCTTTGGCACCCCCGTTCCATCCCCAGAGACGGCCTGGAGTTCTGGGTGGCGGCTGGCTGCCAGGGTGACGACAGTGCCATGGGCTCGGGAAAGAAGAGTCATGGAAACCATAATAGCTGTGGCCAGAGGGTGCCATGTGAAGAGTGGGGACAACTCACTTTGTCTCCTCCTCCACCTGCCTGGTGGCACTTTGACTGTCTGGGGCTTATACAGGAAAGGCAGGCACGAGAGCTCTGAATAGCATCCTTAAGACCAGGGGTCACAAACACAAGTGTCAGCCAGGGCCAGGCAGGCAATGTCAGTGAGTGAGGTGGACCAGGTGTACGGCAATAAGATGGTTGGGGTCTAAGAAAAGAAAGAAAAAAAGACATCATCTACTACATCGTTGTTTTTTAATAAAGATATCTTTCTTTAAAAAAAGTAAACATTACATTCAGAAATAAAAACAAAATTAGATCCTCTTGGCAAACTAATATACTTTCTTGTATTCAGCATGAGATCTATTGTTCCCTTTTTCCCTCGACTGTCAGGAGGCTCAGAGCTAGATTTTGTGTTCCTTTTTGATTTTTTTGACACAATTATCTTTCTCTCTCTCCCATCCCTTTCTTCTCCCAATGTGTAAACAGATACATGTGCATGTACACACATACACATATTTGATAGTTATTGGCCCTTATATTGTTACCTCTGGCTTTACTGCATTTGTCTCTTTCATTGTAAGTTTTGTTACAAATCCTTTTCACAAGTATGCAGAGTAAAAAATAAATTAATAAAATGAATGGTTTCTACACTCGAGGCCAATTTTTCCAATCCTTTTTTTTTTTAGGAAGATTAGCCCTGAGCTAACATCTGCTGCCAATCCTCCTCTATTTGCTGAGGAAGACTGACCCTGAGCTAACATCTGTGCCCATCTTCCTCTACTTTATATGTGGGACGCCTGCCACAGCATGGCTTGACACGTGGTGCATAGGTCCACACCTGGGCTCTGAACTGGTCAACCCCAGGCCGCTGAAGCAGAACGTGTGAACTTAACCATTGCACCACTTGGCTGGCCCCTCCAATTCTTTAAGTAGAATGCCACATCATTAGATGACAAGGAATTCAGACAACCTAGAAATTATCCTCTGTTTCCTAGAGTGGTGCTGAGGACAAAACTTACAGGGCTCTGTCCATTCTTGGGTGAAAAAGATCCAAATTAGCAGGATTCAGAGCCCATTTTAACCCTTTGAAACTCTCTCTCTCGGACACATACACACACACACACACACACATGGTTTGCCTGGTAGTCTAGAAAGATGTGACATAGATAACATAAGTATAATACTGGTTAAATATTTCAGAGGTTTTTAATTCCTTCATGTTAAGTTTTAATATGTGCCAAAGTCCTGCTTCTTAATTTTCTTCTGTTTTATATATTTTCATATAAAATTCTTTTGAATGTTTAAACTCATTATAAAGAACTATTAGATTAATTCTGAATTCTGGTTCTGTCAGTAAACTCTAATGGTATCCTAATTTTAAAAGCATCTTGTTAGCCTCATTCTAAGGACAAAGTATTTCCCTTTTGAAGTTTTTTTTTTTGCCTTTGGTTTTGTTTTCCTTTTTCTGTTTTTTTTTTTTACCTCACTATCGTCTCTGTCTGCCAGCCAAGATTATGAATAGAGATGATATACCTCAGGAAGGGGCTATAGATCCAAAATTAATCTCCACCAAAGTTAATTCCTGCATAAATTAAGCTGAATGTGTTTTTCAACACCATAAATCAAGCGTAATAGGTATAAATAAAACATGAACCTGGTTTCCTCATTTATAACTTCAAATCTATGACACTTCAGCATGAAAGGGCAAAGCTGTTTTTGCTCTTTCTTCTTTTTGGGAGCTGTTGAGCTAGCCATCTCAAAGATTGTAGTAGATATTGTAACATCAAATAGATTTCCTCTCTATGGCTCAAATAGCTGATAATCAGAAGCCCACAGAAACATTCCGTCTGAAGATTTGAGAATGGGGTGGGAGAGGAACCAACAGCTCGGAGGGCCGGGAAGATTGCTCTGCTGCATGAAGCACATGGCCCGTTGTTGTCTTCAGGTTATTCTATGGCTATATTTCTAGTTTGGGAGAATCCATAAGGTGGGATGAAAACAGGATGTCAGGATAACCCAGTTAAGAACTAACCTGTAGAGTGCGCTGTGGTGCACCTCATCCCTTTACTTGGCCAGTACACTCATCCCTTGGCTGTGCGAACATCCACTGCTAACAGCCTCACCTGGGAAACTATGCCCCGCCCACCCTCCCACCAAGGCCAAGGGCAGCCCACAGCCAACGAGAGCTCAAGAGGCCTGCCTCCTCACTGCAATTCTGTCTTGCAGTTTATACTCCAGAACTACACTGGTCGATATGGTAGCTATTAGCCACATGTAACTATTTAAATTTAAAATTCAGTTTGTCAGTTATGCTAGCCATGTTTCAAAGCTCAATGGCCCCGTATAGCTAGTAGCAACTGTACTAGACGTTGCCAATTACATAAAACGTTTCCATCATTGCAGTAGCTTCTGTGGGCTGGTACTGCTCCAGAGGCTACTCGCTATGGATCAGGCCAAGGCTAGGGTTCCTCTGAGGCCATGTCCTTGCTCATTCTTCCCCCTTCCCTATCTTGCTTCTCTTCCTCCCTTTTATTGATTTACTTGTTTTCTGAAGAGCACTCCCTCAATAAATCGTATGCACCCAAATCCTTGTCTCAGGCTCTGCTTCTAGGAAATTCAACCCAAGACACCCTCTATATTGCTTTAAACTCTAGGCTCACTTATATATGAAGGCTTAGGTTTCCTCACCCTAAAAGATGCTCATGCATGCTTGTTTTCTAAAGCATAGGCCCATAGGGTCAATGGGCCCGGCTTTCATGAAGGGAAAAGGGTTCTGGGAACACAAGGAAGTATTTTTAAATCCCCCAAGATTGTGACTGAGTGTGAGTCTCTGCAAATGCCCAGAGGAGAGGGCTGGCTGAGGGGTGCTGGGAGATCAGAACAGTGAGTGCCATGGGTGTGAAGGCAGAATACCTGACTAATGGTAGACGAGCTGTTGACAGGACTATCATGAAGCAGAAGGAACAGTGCTAATGATGTAGCCCCTTCCCCATTGTTACCTAGAATTAACGTATGATCTAATGACCGAGGGAAGTGAGCCTTGACGTTAATATTAATGACCAGCCTGGTGAGTGGGTTTCCAGAGCTAGATAAAATGTGTCAGAAACACAAAAGTATAGCCATCAAGGAAATGCAAATCAAGACCGCAATGAGATACCACTGAGTACGCTCTAGGATGGCTAGAGTCAAAAAGGCAGATAATAACAAATGCTGGAGAGGATGTGGAGAAATCGGAACCCTTAGGCATTGCTTGTGGGAATGTAAAATGGTACAGTTGCTTTGGAACACAGCCTGGCAATTCCTCAAAAGCTAAACACAGAGTCACCATGTGACCCAGCAATTCCACTCTTAGGTATTTACCCAAAAGAAATGAAATGTGTGAAATGAAATTTAAAAAGAAAAAGCACGTGAATGTTCATAGTGGAATTACTCATAATAGCCAAAAAATGGAAACAACCCAAATGTCCATCAATCAGTGAATGGATAAATACAATGTGGTTTACCCACACAATACATTCAACAGTAAAAAGGAACACAGTACTGATACATGCTACAACATGGATGGACCTTGCAAACATTAAGCTAAGTGAAAGCAGTCAGACACAGAAGGACACATATTGTGTGGCTCCATGTGTAGGAAAAGTCCAAAATAGGCAAATCTACAAAGACATAAAATAGATTAGTGGTTGTCAGGGGCTGGGGAGGTTAGGAGGAAGTGGAGAGTGACTGCTAAGGGGTTACAAGGTCTCTTTTTGGGTGATGACAGTATTCTACAAAGGATTATGGTAATAGATGCACAACTCTGTAAATATACTAAAACCACTGAACTGTTCTCTGTAAGTGGGTGAACTGTGTGGGATGTGAATTATATCTCAATAAAGCTGGCATAAACACACACACACAACGTGAGTTTTCCATCTGCAAATCGGGAAACAAGACTAGGCCACGAGAAGAAAATAGTTTGGTTCATGGCTTTAAGATAACTAAATTAATTTTAAAGCCATTTCCTATTTAGTTTAAAAGCAACGAGCTTTACCCACGTATGTGTGAAATTTAATTGTACATCCACACAAATATTAAGTAAACACCCATCCACCCAAAGCAACTATTAAAAAAATATAATTATAATGAGTGAGGCAGTTCTAGAATGAAGTGGAAAGATCTCCAAGAAATTTTATAAAATGGAAACAGCTAGATCCAGCACAGTGTGTACTATCATCTGTGAGGGGAAAAGAATATACACATACATGTTGCAAACGCATCGAGCACTTCCAGAAGGTTGCAAAAGAAACTGATCACTATGAGCAGTGGGTGCCTCTGGGGAGGGGAACTGGGTGCCTAAGTGATAGGAGAGAGGGCAAGATTGACTATTCCTCTTCCTGTCTACCTTATTCTAGCTTTAAATTTTGTGTATATTATCTATACGAAAATAAAATTTAAATGATTATTTTTTAAGTGAGATTAAGAACAAACTAATTCAGAATAAAAATTTCCAAACATTAAAATTGTCGGCCTTACAGGTTAGTTGTAAAGATCCAATAAGATCGTTCATGAGGATACCCTGCACAGCCTGACATAGTAGCTATGAAAGAAATCGTACGCAGCTTTGAATCAAAATAATAAAAATTACAGCCACCCTCATTAAAGTTTAAGAGACACAATTTCAATAACGAATTGGTTTAAATCTATGATTTTCCAACTGCAGTAACACTTTCCTTCAGAAGGAGCGTGATGGGGTGGGAGAAGGGAAGCTGGCGGGAAGGTAGGGCTGGGCTGGAGTCCCACTCAGCCACTTGTTAGACAGGCCACGCTTGGTGAAGTGTTTTCCTTCATTCCATATTTGGGTGGGGGAAGTCTGCCAATTTGTAGATTAATCCGCTCTGTACATGGGCTTAAAATACGGACAAGAACTACGTAAGGAAAATCTCACCCTCACTTAGGGAAGCCAAAAGGGATATGCTAAAAATGTTTTAACATTGCCTAGACCCGTGCTGTGCTCTTCTCCATCTTGTTTTCTCCTCCTCTTCCTCAGTGGAGCTCCTTTGTCATCAATTGGGCACCCAGCCTGGAGATCTGTATCAGAACCGTATGCTACATCGGTGTGACAAAGGCTAGGCTTGTCAGCGGAAGGAAGGAAGGAAGAGGTCAAGCCAATGGGGTGAGACGGTCAAGGAGAGCAGTGTAGAACCACCAAGTGTTTGGACA